AGACTAATGAAGAAAAAAATGAACATGGTAGCTATAATTTAATTTCGACCTAACCAGCAGAAGAGAGGAAAGAGTTTTCCGTCTGGACTAATATGGTAAAAACGTCAAGACACAGATTCTATAAATTCTTCATTATTTTATTAATCTTGTTTTTCCGATTTCTGTTGAATAAAAGTCAGGAATTTATATTCCCAAAGATGCATCTTAAATTGTAACTTGTACCATTATCAGCCAATTGTAATAAAAAATCAGTGTGATGCATTGGAGCCCAGAAGAAGAAAAAACATAAATTGGCAGACAGCCAGATAGCACTTGCAGCAAGTGGAGAGAATCAAACACAATATTATATGCAGCAATAGTACTCGAGCCCACATTAAAGTATCTTGGTGTAATAGCACAACACTCTCCAAGGAGGAGCCAACTGCCTCTAGCTTAATAAGCCTTAACATCAACTGTTGTGAGTTTGAGTGGTAACGAAGATTACTAGGATACCGACATGACATTGCATCAAAATGAATAAAAAATCTGAGAGAGGTGTGCTAACGCAAGCATTTATATCTCTAAGAATATTTGACTCCAACAATTGCTCTGCAACTAAATCTTTGATATTACAAACCCACAATTGTTTAAAACTTGTAATGTGAAAATAAAGCCAGTATGAAGAACCAAAAACAAGCAGCAGAGAAAACTCTGGCATATTGTCTTTTTGTTTTAGTGTAGGACCTCTCAAATTGCTTGCAGTCATATCTTTTCTGTCATCAATAGGTTATGAATTTAACTAATCATCAGCAGAATGAGCACAAACCTAAAGGAAGGATCTGGGAAAAAGGTGAACCCAAAAAACTTCAATGAATTCACTTTGTGTATCCCACAGTGATGGTTAAAAAGTTTTCTCGCTATACCAATTCAGCTAACCATCATCACTGCATCATTAAATTTTGTTTCACCATCATAAAACCTAAACTAAAGCCAAACCACCAATGATAAGAACACACAAAAATCATGCTTTAATGGCCACCAAAATCGGCAAGAAATCCAAGTCTTTCGAGAACTAATAACTGCAAATAAAATTCCTGCACAACCACTAATAGTGGCTACAATAACCTTCCTTTCACAATTCCATTAATCCCTCAACCAAATCTTGAATAATAGGGCAGTGTGTTAATCAACTTCTCCTCTCTTAACTTCCCCATTCACTCCTCTTCTTCTTTGTACCATTTCCACTTGAGATTGCCACTTTTATACTTGATTTCACATGTGCCTATCTTCCTCTGTCCTCTTCAAATCCCTATTTGTAAGGCTAATACTACCAAAGCACCCAATAAACTTGGCCCAAGCATTAACTTTTCCAAAGTTTTGCAAGTGCTTGGGATTGACCAAACCCGAATAAGCCAACCAAATAAACTGTTCAACAAAATAATACAAACCCTCACCAACACATGCGATAATAGAGAGGAAAAGTACTTGTTTTGAATGAAAATCAGTTACTCAACAGGAAAGATTTTGTTAAATGCAAATGCAAAATGTTACCAAGCTCCATCAGTTTTCCTTTAAATATAATTTAAAACAAAAGGTTATTGAACTGTTCTTGTAAAGTATATTGAACAAAGTTAAAGATGGATCCCATCCCAACGCAACTATAGTTTTATTCCTGAGAAATGATGTGGTATAAAGAACCCAAAAAATTTCACGGGTTCACATCAACATTTCATGATTCTAGTACAAGAATACTTTTCACGCTTGGTCACTGTCACAAAGGCAGCTATAAGCACATAACTGCATTATGAAATCATCTTTTATAAAATTCATAATTCAGTAAACGAAACAAATTCCCAAATTTTGAAACAACCGTACCTTGTGAAACTCAGCAAGATACCCAATTCTTATGAGTACTAATAATCGCCGATAAAAGACCGGCAGAGGCCACAAAAAGCGGAGCCGAAAGTGTTCCCTTGCCATCACGAAGATCAGCTAAAGCCATCAACCCATCAGCCAAATCTTGAACAACTGAAAGTTTCTTCATCAACTTCTTCTCTCTCAATTTCTTCATCCTCTGCTCTTCTTCTCTAAATCGATTTCCTCTCGCAATCGCAATCTCAATAGTCGATGCCAAACACCCTTCGTCTTCCATAATCTTCTTCAAATCCTTAAATTTTATGCTAATACTACCTATATAACCAATAAATTCCGCCCAAGCGCTGATCTTTTGTAAATTACGCGAGTGTTTAGCATCGATCAATCCCGATTTAGCTAACCAAACAAACTGTTCAACAAAATAATACAAACCTTCGCCTCCATACGCAATAATAGAGAGAACAAGATCTTCTCTGGAATCTATGCCAGAATTTCGCAAAGCGTTTACATCTTGAATGAATTTACCGAGTCGAAAGGCTTTACGACTCAGTCCCACGCTGGACTCGAAGCTCTTGAGTCGTCCTGTTACAGTAAGAGTTTCAGGCAGCACTGAAGAGGCTAAAATGATCTTGGTTGCATATCTGGAGATTTTGAGAAGCTTGTCCACACCATCGCGTTTTGCTAGGTACGCTTCTAGATGGTTCAAGAAGTCTCTGTTAGTAGATATCGGTTGAATTGGGTTTTGGGAGGTTTGTGAGGGAGCCGGAGCTGTTAAATCTTTGGATTCCATGGAATTGCAGAGCGAAAGAATGTGATATTCGTGGGAGAAGATGGTCAAGGTCAGTATAAACTTCAATTATTATAAATGAAACGAAGCGTTTTGTAATGGGAGTTTGACTTTTTAACAGTTCCGTCACGACAGTTCTAAATTCGGCTAGAAACGTGGTGACAATTTTAGCAATTAGAGATAATCTCTGATGGTCATTGTTATGCGTGCCACTTTCAATCGTGACGTGCTGCGAGCCTAAGATTGGAGAACGGTGAGGATAGAAATGTGGACGAATTGTTCTTTTTTTTATTAAATCATCACTAACTAGATCAATTTGTGTAAAGAAGGGAATTTTTTTTAACGTTCTGGAAAAAGGATTAAACCTTTGTCTCTCCTGCTATGCAGACGGCTAGCTTTTGTAGAGAAACCTCTTTACACAGAAAATAACTTAAACATTATGTATATATATAGAGAGATCATATTTGTTGTTTGTGCTGCATATTGCTCTAAGCTGACAATTAGTTGGAGTGGAGTTTATCCAATGTATTTTGGGGAAGAAGTAAGTTCTATACAAATTATTGACTTATTGTAGAACTTTGTGGTTAACTTTGAGATGCTGCAGCTCATGATCTCAAGACGGTAAGAGAGGAAAAGGGTAAATTTTATTTGCTGGCAAGGTGGGCTATGTGTTTTTCTTTAGTTATTTGGATAATTTTGCAAACATAGTGTAATACTACTACCCTCTTGGAAGTTGGAACAGAAGGGGAATATGATTCGTTTTCACAGATACATATATGGTCCTACAACTTGAAGGCGTGAATAGCAAGGACGTGAGTCAAATTTACATAAACGAGGCACATAATATATAGATATGAAATCTCCTCTTCTTCCTAAACTGGAACCCTTATTCGTGGAGTACGCACTACTAACGGAGGAATTAGGTCGTGCGTATATAAAGGCACTTCGGCTCAAGCTTTGACATCTATTCTAAATCTAAGCTACTTTACATGCTTTTTAACCTTCTAACACTTTGGTGACTTATGTTATTATTTCAAATTATTTGTTTTCAAAAATAAAAAAAAAAGAACAAAATTTAAGAATGTTTCATTAATGTTATTCTCATTATTCAATGAAAACATCAGAGTTTGGTTTGTTATTATTGTTTTATTAGCATATCGTTTTATTAATTGTTATTTAATCATAAAGAAATATACAATGCAATACTAATAATTAAATTTATAAACTCTCTTATAACCTTGATATGGTAATTCGCAATGAGTCTCATCTGTCCAACAATGAGTTTTGTTTGCTCAATTGTAAACTGTCATGTTGAGGTTAGAGGAAAGGATTGTAAGATTTGATGATAGAGACAACATTTATTGAACAAACAAGTTACATCTGAATCATTCGGAGCAAACAAGTTGTATATGACCAATATAGTTAATAATTGCAACTAAAAAGTTGTACTTCAACTTGGCCCGTCCAAAGTGGGAGAACGACATTTTCCCACCCAAGGTTTGGCAAAACAACACTTTTCCATTGATTAAGTTTCAAAATGACACTTTTCCACCCTTAATCAAGTTCTATTAGTGTTTTCTATTAATAATTGATTAAAAGATAAAAATACCCTTAAATAGTTTATTATAAATTAAAATTTAGTTAAGTGAAAGCCTTTACTCAAATGTAAAGATACATTTTTTCCTTTGTTTATTTAATTAATTATGAATATTAACTATTAAGATTTTTTATGTTAATTAGTAAAAATAAAAAACATTATATTAGTAGATTATTGAATAGTAATGATGAGATATTTATGATATTATTAATAAATAAATATTAAGGTCATTTAACTTTAAACAGTTTCATAACATTACTCTTAACTTTTGTAGTTTGGGTTAACTATTTTTTCTTCTTTGAATTTTTAATATCTTACTTTTTGGATAATTCAAAAATAAAAAAAAATTATAAAGTCAAATATTTAAAGGTATTTTCGTATTTTTAGTCAAATATTAACAAAAAATATAATAGATTTTGACAAAGGATGGAAAAATATTATTTTGAAACTTGAATGATGGGAAAGTGTCATTTTGCCAAACCTTGGGTGGGAAGATGTCGTTCTCCCGTCCAAAGTCTTATCAATTTGCTGTAAGAAAATTATTGAACAACTCAAAAGACAATATTTGTCACAAGGACAAACTAAGCCATGCAAGGAGCAAAAATAGTAATTTGTAATTTTGTATAGATATTATGTTCATAAATCATAAATATATATAAGATTACTGATCTAGAATCCAAGACGAGGCTCGAACATGGCGGGCTAACTTGTCCCTTTTTTTATTAGTACACCACAACACAGCACAACATCCTATTACAAGAAATAAAAACACGACATCAGTGTTACAGTAATAGATAGTTCATGTAACGATTCCGTGACCATGCGAGAAAGCTGGGCAATCGATCTAGACAGCCACACAACGTAATACCTTCAAATTAAGAAATGTAACTTTATTGATTACCCTTCCATTTCTTGACAACACAAGCAAGCGAATCAAATGAAGATCCACCAGTTTCTAATGCTCTGGAAGCACTGTGGCCCAGCTGCTTAACCTTATGTCTCATTACCTTTCCTTCTTCACTCTCCATTACCAACCTCACTACCCTGTTTATTTCTTCCCGTCCGATCACCTTCTTTCCAGGTCCTTTTACTGGCTTTACGGCCACCCCAATCTCCTCCGTAAGCAACGAAGCATTCATTTTTTGTTCTGCATAAAGTGGCCATGCGATCATTGGCACGCCATTGGATACGCTGTCCAACGAAGAGTTCCACCCACAGTGAGATAAAAACCCACCTGTTGATGGATGTCGTAGCACTGTCGCCTGTTGAGCCCACGACGGTACCACCATACCTACTCCTTGCGTCTTCTCCAAAAACCCTTCTGGCATATACGCTTTTGGATCGTTAACATCACTTCCCACATTGAAGAATGTAGCTGCACTAGCATCGCTAGGCGTGCGTACAACCCATAAAAACCTTTGCTTACTGAGTTCTAGGCCCCACGCCATCTCCGTGAGCTGTTCAGAACTCAAAGTTCCACCACTACCATGCGCAACAAAGAGAACTGAATCAGGCGGTTGCTTGTCTAGCCAAGCCAAATACTCTTTATCTGATATAGTTAACTGTTCATCTTGTTTGATCAGTGGACCAATAGGGTAAACGGGTGGTGTTGGTATTTGCAAGTAGAATGGATGTTCTCTTATTGTTTTAAGAGAGACTGGCTCAAGATCCTCCCACGAGTTGAGGAAGATACCAGCTGCTAGAGGCAATCGGCTAAGGTGAAATAAACACCATTTGTATTCATCAATCTTCCTGTTTCGTACCTGGTCTACAAGATCTCCGGGTCGTACAGGCGAGCAACCCGGGATCGCAATCGGTTCAGGAAGATCAATAAATTCACCTTCTACCTCACGATCAAGTGTAGGAAGATACAACGAGAAGGCCAAAAAAGTAACTGATGGAGTAAAGAAAGAGTAGGTTGGAATTGAAAGGTCATTGCATACTTGGAAAGCCTGAGTAGAAAATAAATCAATAACAAGAGCATTGGGTTTGCCTAACGCTAACCCAATTAAAACTGACCTTAAGGACTTGAGACTCTCCTCTGCAATGACACATAGGCGAGCGAGCAAAGTAATGTCATCGGTAGTGATAGCTGAGACGTCAACGAGTGGGAGGTCAACAACTTCAAGGCCGGGAGGGAGAGTGGGCGACCGGAGAAGCTGGTCTTGGGCCGTTGTTGCTTCGTTGGTGTTGATAACAAGGAAGCTGACATGGATGCCGTGGTGAACGACCAGACGCTTAGCCAGCTCGAATAGAGGAATAAGGTGGCCCAAACCAGGGCTTGGCAAGATTGCAACATGTGTTAATTGCATGATTGACCTCAGTCACCACTGCGGTGTGTCTGAGTAAGGAAGTGGGAGTACATAAATGTTATATAGACATGTAAGTGTATTGTAATGCAATGCTAGCATAAATGCTCTCGGGTCAGATGCTCTAACCAGGACCATTTAAAAGCTTTTTCGTGACATCATCACAATTATATAGCTTCCGCCAATATTTTATAATATCTTCAACCTCAAATTATTTTTCGAGAATCCAAAATTTGGGTTATTAGATAGAATTCAGTGGCAGTTTCAAAATTCCACATAACCATCATGCATGTTGTTGATGCTTGGTTTTAGAAACCAACACTCGCACATGCAAAGCGTTAAGAGAGTCTTATAAATTATACGTGATGGATCTATAAGATTTGAATATGATACTGAGATTATATATGTTGCAGAAAACATAAATAATAGACTGACAAGAGAGATTTTTATAGTGGTTCGGATGCTTAAAGCAAATCCTACATCCACTGTTATTTTGTATTCTCTGACTATTTCTATGATATTGCCCGTAAGACATACAAAGATGGAGAAATACAGTGTTTACAGAGAGAAATAATGAAGCTCAAATTTATGCCTAGCTCTCATATGTCCAGCCTTCCCTTTTTGTGAAGAGAAGTGCCCATTTATACACCTTTGAGGTCAATGTAATGAGTGTTTTGCAAGTTGCCTTGACACATGAATAGCTCTCATCCATTCTTCTCTTAAAATGAGATAGGGTTAGTATAAGATATCTTTGAGGCGATATGGACTTGACGGGAAGTACAATTTGTCTTTTAGGCACTTGTTGAGTTAACATCAGCGTGACTTTTTAGGCATTATACATATCAAGAGATAAGTGGTAATGAAATTAAGTTTGGTGTTCTTTGGCTTTTGCGTAATTTTGATTTCCGGTTTAACTTGGGTCTTGTTGAGTCCCCTCCGACCCTAATAGGGGTGATTAATGTCCAAATTTATTCAGTCATTCACTGCAGGGCTTTGAGGGATTAATTGAAGTACGTACAAACTGACCAGGACGCCCGATCACCAAAAAAAAAAAAAAAAAGATAGTAATCATTATCTATAAATTTATATACGTGTTTAAAAGATATTGAACTTGGTTTGTAAAGTTTTGCCTCTCGATCCATCTGACAATTTTATTAATTTGATTAATTTAATTCTGTGGCATCTGCAATTCCACTTAGCAAATAGATTGAGCATCTCATTCTTAGATACGATGGTTGGTGGTTGATGTGACCACTTCTTCAAGCATGGGGACCAATCGCAATAACAGAGGGAACAACTTATAGAATAATCTATAAGTTAGATATAAATTTAAGTAACACAAAATTAATGAAAAAATGAAGATAAAAATCAATGATGTCACCATAAAGGTATAATATCACATTAGTTTATATAACCTGTTGAAAGTTCTTAATAGCATGAATAATGGTTCGAATGATGAAGTCTGTATGAATAAGACTTGTTTTCATTTGGATCATGGACTCGAGGTAAAACCAGAAATCGGTTTGTTAAATACTGTCGTAGATAAGTTAGAGCTTTTGACCCAGAAGCGTGAAAACTTAGACAGGAGAGTGAATTATATGGTGTATCGTATATTTACTCTAAATGAAGAATTGACCCAGATCGGAAATCAGATTGAAAAGGTTAATTATGTACTTCAAAAGGTTAAAACACTGGAATGTGTTCTAACTATTTTACTAAGTCGGTGAGATAAGAGATGTCTCTGGTCTTAAGTGACATCGAACAAGTATGGCCTATTGAAGAATATACTGAACAAGAGGTAAAACGGGTTGTGTTAGACCTCTGTAACGGCAACCCAGATATTCGAGAAGAGTATCTGACTTGGCTAGGTATTAAGCGACTTTTGGATGTTATTCAAAAGGCTTTTAGTCAAGGGTGCACAAAGATTTTGTGTTTTATTTGCCGGATTTCCACCATTGAAGTTGCCGAACTAGAAATTCGAAATAAGTGGTTGGAAAAAGCTGAGGCAGTAATTTCTTATTGGCATGGCGAATCTCAGCCGGATCCAGATCCCAAACCATATAAAGAGTCGGACTTCGCAACTGAGTTGAGACTTGATTCAGATTGACCATGGGTGGTCAGGATGTTTTGGATCAGTTTGCGGCCAGTCTGCAGGAAAAATACCCTGGATTACCTCCAGGATATGCACAGTTCGTAACCAAGGAAACCCAAGGTGATTGGGAAAAGGCGGAAAAACTCTTTATGAAAGGTGTTAAGGAAGAAGACTTTGTTTCTAAGGTGGATGGAAAACGGAAGATTGATATTCCAGAAATTTCTACCTCGGATGTTGAGCGAATAAGCAAGTATTATGTGGAAGAAATGAAGAAACAAAGGAAAGGAGAAGAAACTGGAGGATTGAAAATTACTCCAGGTCCTAAAAAGGCAGAGCTCGATGAGCTAATCTCGCAACTCAAGGAATCTGAGTTTAAAGATGATCCCCTTGAAGGAATTCATAATCCTTTAAATTCTTTCGAAGGATTTCTTAAGGAAATCTCCAAACCTGAATATAAACAAACTTATCCCACAAAGATAAGGTCAGAGTTTATACCTAGGGGAATACCTAGAATGGTGGAGATACCATCTAGCGGAAGTTTCCTAAATATCGATTGTGTTACCAATGTAACGGATGCAATCGAAGCATGGGAAACTGTTAACTGGGTTCATATCCAAAACAAGAATTTTGGACTCAGTGATACTTACAAGTTTCTAAGATCCATACTACAGGGCGCTGTAGGAAGCTTTTGGAGAAGTTTAGAAACTGATACGGGTCTGTTAGATACTGTAAGGGACTTAAAGAATGGCAAAGCTATTTTTGCACTCTTCAAGGATATGCTCTGTAGAGAATTTATTGGAATAACTATTACCAGTAGGAATCTTGCAGAGGTGGTTGCCTTAGAAGCTTTAACAAAGCTTAGGCTTTGTGACATGTGTCTGTTTGAAAATTTCGTCTATAAATATAGACGTTATTTTTATCAGTTGCCTGGTGGTACACAGAAAGTCATGAAGAATACTTTCTTTGCTAAGCTTCCCCAAGGATGGGATAAGGCAGCAAACGAGGCGTTTAAGCTTTTACTCGAAAAGAATCAGATTGTTGATTCTTTGGGAGGAAGAACAGAAGCTGTTAGACAACTTGTGAGGACAAGATGTTTGAACGCCAAGCTGAATAAGGAAGCTAAAAGGCTTGAGTTCAACGAATCTTGTTGTCAAAACTTTGATGGCGTGCCAGGACAATATGGCTGTAAGTCGAGGAGCTCGACTAAACATCAAGGTTGGAAAAACCATATGAAACGAAAAGGATCGTTAGGTAAAAGGAACTTTAAGCCGAAACGTTTTCGTAATATGGTAAAACGACCTGTTACTAATAAATGGAATCTTCCAGATCATGAAAGGTTTATTAGGCGCACAGGGAAAGGTAGACTTAACGCTAAGGAAAGCGGAGCGCGTAAGTTTTGTGCTACCTGCCCATCTGGCAAAAACGCAAAAGATTGTAATTATTGCTGGATTTGTGGTGACAAAAATTAGTTTGCGGATAAATGCCCTCATAAGGGTAAGAAGAAGGCAGCGGTACGATTTTTGGAAATCAACGCGGAAAGCCAAACTTTTGAATTTAAGCCAGTTTGGGGATATGACATTAATTCGGATGATGAAGTTTATGAATTAGTTTTGGATTACTCTGATGATTCAGATTCTTCAGAGGATGACTCAAAAGATATGACTTTTGAGGAACAATCTTCAAATCTTCAATGTATAGGTATATTCATGCAAAAGTCTAGAAGTCTTAATGAATATCCTAAGAATAGCGGTATTGGTGATGAGGATGATCTTATCCCAATTAAAAGTGAAGATGAAAACCCTAACTCGGTAATTAGTTCATCATCTAATTACGAGGATCACTCGAGAAACCCGGAGGCTTAGGTAATTCCGAGGTTAACACCTAGAGAAGTTTTTGAAAAATGCTCTAAGTGGTTATTCAAAGCTGAAGGCTTGGAAGCTGTACACGAAAAGCCTGTTCGTGTAGCATTATCTCAATCTCGAGAGGGTGAATTAATACTCTTGGACGATGAGTGGCTACAGAAGGTTAGAAGTCTTGCCAAACGGGCAAATGGCAAGTATAACTATGTACAACTTGGTGCTGTACAAATTTGTGTGCAGGGACTATTCCGTGGAGGAATGAATGTACCTGTTCAGGTTGCTTTACTGGACAGAAGATGGCTTACGTTTGGTAAAGCTCTAGTTGGCTGTTTTCACGCTAATTTAGCTTTGGGAGATGCCTATGGGACGGTTAAACCAGGATATATGGTTAGTCTCACAGATCCATAACTTAAACAGATTATGGTTCTTCGAATTCATACTTCGGGATTAGAAGACTTGATGGCTTCTAGTGACGGAAAAGCTATTCAGTATAGGTTGATTTATCGCTTGATAAATTCTGTTAATCCTATATGAATGAACTCTGGTGCAGACACAGCGGTTCATGGCCCAGGACAGGATTCTGTAATTCCAATTCGACCTACGGTAGTCAACACTAAGGCTCTTATGTGGCCAAAACGATGGGTTTTAGACTATTCACCACAGCCCAGCGTGGTGGAATTAAACCCAAATCAGGGAATTCAAATCTAGGAACTTGATAATGAGGTTGAGGTTACTCTTCCTACGCCTAGAAACTCGGAGTCTTTAGAGCGGAATAAAGAGGTTCAGCCTATTATATCAAGGAAAAATATACTAGAAACAGATGACACTGCTAGTGATGCTGGAAGTAGCGGTAGCAGGAAAATAGTTGGGTATAAATCTGTGCAAATTCCCGTATATGAAGATAAAACTCCAAGCATGAAAATGATGATGAGTCATGAAATGCATTGTCATGCGATAGTTCAGGGAACTATTGATACATGCATACGTGCAAAACTGTGTTTTCCAGAATATGAGAAATATACTCTGGATGTTCTTGTAGACACAGTAGCAACCAAATGTATTGCA